AAGTCACGAGGTATTTGCAATATACTTCCCTCCAAACATTGTTGTCATTAAATGATGTTTACACTGTGGGTGAGTCATGTGTACGTATGAGGGCTAAAAACCCTGAAAACAAACTTTTAAAATTGATGAGTCGACTTTCGTGTATTCATTTGGTATACTATAAAGTAGCAGTCAAAACTTATTTTTTTTGAAAAACATTATATTTATACGCTTTCAGCTTAACCCAGATTTACCTTCCTAAACCAATGACCTTCATGTCCCTGCATTTGCCTGCTGTTTGTATTTGGTAGCAGGGACCCTGTCTCTTTGGCCCAAGACTGTGTCCTCCTTTCAGTCTCCTGTAGAAGGTCATGGTTCCTGTCGCTCCCCTCAGAGAATGGATGCTGTTGACATCTGCAAGTTGTGAGTGAATTTTCCATAAAGGTGTTTAAGAATGATCTCACAACTAATGAGTATAATGAGATTTTATAATGCAATTTCATGTATGGGGTAGTGGTTAGGAAAGCTTTATTATCTCTTCCGGTCTTGACATTTTGTGATTCCTTAAACACGCCACCAGGAATTACATTGTCTTTTCAGTAATGGCTGTGTACGCCATCTTCCTTTTGATGGTGTGACGACTGGGCCATGACTGCAACCATTTATCAGATGCGCTCTGAACATGCCCCAATCTCAAAAGTATTCTGTTTGAAAATGAAAGGGAAGTTACTTTGTCTTTCTCTGAACTATAAATACAACATTTTTAAAAATAACCTTACACTTGGGAATAATTGCAGATTGAGAGAAAAACTGCAAAGAGACTTCCCATTTATTGTTCACTCAGCTTCCTTTAAACTTAACATTTACATAACCACAGTGCATTTGTCAAAACTCAGAAATAATCTGAGTTTTTTTTCAAGATGCTGCCAGTTTTCCTAGCGACGTTCTGCGGCTGCTACGGCACCTAATCCAAGACACCATGTTGGGTTTCTTCATTATATCTCCTTGGTCTCCTGTGATCTGGGACTGATTTTTCTCTTTCTTTTTTCATGATCATGAAACTTTACAAGAGTTACTGGTCAGATATTCTGTAGAATGTCTTTGAGTTTGGGTTTCTCTGATGTACAAATTGAATTCTGATGCTCTTTCTTGAACGGAGAGGCCAAACATAAGTACTTTTCAAGAGAATTTTATTATGAAAACTGACTATTTTAGGACTAAGTAATTTATAATATGATGGCTAACAGGATGTCATTTAATTTTCACCAAGGCACTGACGTGTGGTTCCTCATTATATATGTTCCGCCCAATTATATTGTCAGATGGTGTTTTCTCCTTACGTACGATGCACTGACCGCCCGCCCCCCCCCCACTTTGAAATTCATGTGTAGATTCCCTTCCTCACATATTCGTGAATACCAACTGCCTTTCAGAAACTCCCAACCTAAATTCTCAGTAGCCTTTCTGCAGCTGGTCATGTCTACTTCCAATCTGCAGCCCCGGCGACGACCACAGCTGTCACTTCTGTGGTGTGCTTGCCAGCTGCCTGATGCTTTCCTTACATGGCTCTCACCTTCAGCACACCAGCGCGAGACAGTGTCAACATCAGAAGGTGAAGCTCAGTCTTCAGGACTGATTCAGGTAGTGGTGAGAGGCAGAGCTCTGACCGGAGTCT